GGGAGAGAAAAAGAGAACATCAAGGTGACTTGAAAAGAGAGAGAGATAGAGAGGAAGAATGAAGGCTCATCAGAGAAGGGTTTTTGGAAAGAGAAAAAATCTAAAAGGTTTCCTTAGATCTATGCCACTCTAGTCATTTTGGAGGTAATCGAAATCGAATTCGTGTTCAGGGCGTTGAGACGAAGCAGCCCATAAAATTTAGGCTCGAAAAAATGCCGGAAGATGACGACGTAGGCTGCTAGAGGTGGCTGTCACGTCGACCGATGATGGTCTCTCTCACTGAGGCCTGAGAGAAAAGAGATAGTGGGGAGAGAGAGGAAAAAATAGAAAGAATAAATGAAAGGAAAGTGAGGGGAAAAAAAGGAAAATTAGGTATTTATATCTCAACCATAAATATGTCATTTTGGGGTTATGGTTTATGGATTCCGCCACATGGGTTAATCACTTTCTTGGCCATACAATGTTTGTAATCTCTTCATTTTAGTCACTAAATTCAACTTCTGATTTTATGATTTCAAGCTATGAATTTTCTGTGTTTATATTTTAGTCATCATGTCTCTTATTTATATACTTTGGTTAAATGTGTGATTTGATTTATTAATTTTAATTTATAGTATTTTAGTCTGTTTTATGGCATGTTTGAAAATGTTTTATTTATGCTTCTAGGTATTGTAATTTTGCCTTGATTTTATTTTGGTCATTCTTTTGGTTGGATATTCATGAAATGATACGGATCAATATTCCGATGACCGCTTGTGACTTTTATTTATTCTGACTAGTCCTTATATTTTCTTATTGCTTTATTTTAGTCATTTTAAGTATATATGTGTATTTGTGTTTATACATTATACGAATGTATATCTAATTTCTTTGTTTGATTTTTTTAATAATCCTTTTTATGAATATTAAATATTTTCCTTTTTATGTATAAGTTTATGATATATGCTTAGATATATTTCCCGTAAGTGTATATTATTTAAATGTGTATTTCTTTTAGTACATTCATTTAAGAAATATATATATATATATATATTGGTGTGACTAAATTACATTATTTGATTTTAAGCCAATGTACTACCTCTTGTTCAATTAACCTATGAAAGACCTCCAAAGTCCTGAAGGGCCCTTTCCAAGGTTTCTTCGAATAAAGAAATTTTTTATCCTTTATTATTTTATTATTTATTTTTCATATTATGTTTAATATTTCATCCATCCTCTACATGACATTTACAAACGACGCATTCATAAACCATCTATTTGTTTTCTCGTTTAAAAAAATTAATTAATTAAAGGTAATATTGTCGTGTGTCATGAGTTATTGGAATTTTGTCCCAAATGACTGGATTTTAATTTTCGTTAATTTACGTAGGAATATGACATTTTTAAAAAAAGTCGAGTGAATTAAATCTTTCATCGAGTCAAACATTTTAAAAATGAATTCACTCATTCTAAAAATCATAGAAATAAAAAGGATCGTAACTTTAAATTTCGAGTTCAAATTTGTAAAATTTCATCATTTCCGACAATGCATAATCGAGAGGTATCAATCTTAGGCGATGTGGGGGTGCTTACCCTTCCCCACGCATAACCGATTCTCGAATCCTTAAAAATGAATTTCTAGTTAAATTCATATCAATTTTCGTCTTTAAATGATTTTTCTAAAATTCGTTTAAAAGACTTTTTCTGGGTATTCGACCTACCCAACCAAAAGGTCGAAGGTGACTCCAGTCTTTCCTGAACTAATTCAATTTTAAAAATCGACATTCCTCGAAAGTTGTGTCGTACTTCTATTTTTCGACACCCCGGACAAAAAACGGTGACAACAAATATATTCCAAATATGTAATTTTTCATTAAAAAATTGATGATAATATGATCTCATAATATCAAACAACTATGTTGAATTAAGATTTTAATATAACAATAAATTACAAAATTGATTTTAGATTTAATCGAATTTATCAAAAATAATTCAAAGTTTAAATTAACTTGAAAAATATGTTTTAAATGTTCTTTGACTCAGTCAAACCTTTTCAAAAACATACTCGACCGTTTTCGCGCTTTAATGTTAAGTTTTCAAGCATTCTTGGCTCAAAGGATCAATTCTTTATCAAAAAGATCGATCCCTCTGACCAAAGGATCGATTCCTTGAGAAATGAATGATCCCTTGTATTCCTGTGTGTTTGGGATCAATCCCTTTACAAAAAGGATCGATTTCTCGAGGATCCCTTCACCAAAAAGATTGATCGCTCGATGAAAATGATCGATCCCTTCCCTTAAAGGATCGATCCCTATATTGCAACGATCGAATTATTTAAAAAAGGACAGTCCCCTTTAACGAAAGGATCGATCTCTTGTACATTAAATGATGTTTTTGGCTATAGGTAACGGCTATAATGATCCCAATGGCTCCAAACTGCTATAATTGATAGAGAATACATAAATTGAAGGTCAAAACTTCCCAAGGTCAACAAGATTCATATTGAACCAACCTACCAACATTAAAGTTTTGTTTTGTGCTTAATTTGTAAAATTCTTTGTTTAAACACACTTGTGAGTTACGTTGTTTATTTTGTTCAAGTGTGTATTGGGTGAGTGCTTATTTAGTGCAAACCTATTTGCCTTGTGAGGTTTTCTCTTTTGTTTACTAAATTCGTATTTACTCTTTGGGAGAGTGTGTACTCGAGGTTTTGGGTATAAACCTTGAAGTATTTATATGGTTACACATTGTCCTTAAGGATACGTTTGGTTTACGGAATGTAAGATTACCTTTGGGAATAAGTTATCGGAATGCAACATTACTTTGGGAATGTTGTATTACCCTATTTGGTTTGCTTAATAGGAACGTAAGATTACAATGTTTGGTTGGAGGAATATAAGATTACTTGGATGCATATTTTACCAAATTATCCTTGTCATATACATATATTTAACAAGTAAAATTTTAATATTAAATTATAAATATTTGACTAAAAACTCATAAAAATATTTTAATTATTACACTATTTAAGTTTAAAGAAAAAATAAATTTAACATATAATTAATATAATTAGTATATCAAACTTATAATTTTAAATAATTTTCATAATTATCATATTTATTTATATAAAAAATAGTATGAAAAATAATATTGTGATCTCAAGTGGACAAATATATTATCTTTTAATATATAAGATCTATTTTTTAATAATTCAATATTAAATATTATTTTAAATAATTACATTTTTACAGTAATAATATTTTCACCTCATAAAATTATAAAACAATTAATATACTAAATATTGAATATATAAATAATTTTGACTACTCAAATGTATTAGTATTTTATTAAATTAAACTCTTTGTATATTATATTATTATTAAGTTTATAGTTTTGAGTAAAGCACTAAGAATAAAAATTAAGAATGATCCAAATAAAAATTGAGAATGATCCATATAAAAAATTCTTATTTCAATGGTATTTATGTTAAGTGGTGGGAATTGTTCATTACCTAAGAAATTTGGAGGTAATGACATTTCCACCATTTTAACCTAAAAATGCTACTATTTGTAATAGGTTATTACTTGGTAATGATCTTTTCCATGAACCAACATGGGAATACAATTCCATAAAAGATCATTCCCCTTGGTAATGATCTTTTCTGCGAACCAAACACCCCCTAAAGGTAAGCAAATATAGTGAATTTGAGAAATCCTTAATGTGGATGCTAAGGTAGTGGATGTAGACTTGATTTAGAAGTCGAACCACTTTAAATCATTGTGCAAAAGGTTCTATTTTTCGATTGCTTCCACGAAACCTTTTAAAAGACTAATTTGATCAATCGAGCCCGATAGACTATCATATCTCAATAATCATGTAAATGTCTAGATAGGAGTATCGTCAATTTTTTAAGGAAAAGAACGAGTTTAGATCATATAAATAGTCAAGTGATCATTTTGTAACTTTTAATAGTTAAGGGACTTAATAAATTAGTACTCTATAATTAGGGGACCATTTGTGTGTGTGCATATATATATATATATATATGACCAAAGTAAAAAATATATAATAATTGAAAAACCGAATAAATAGTTTTCCTAACATGTATTTCAATATTAGACAATAGTATTATTGACAAATATTTTATTTAAATATTTAATAATCATAATTTAATATTGTTAATGATAAAATTTATTTCTCAAATTTTATAAAAGTATGTGTAACTATATTTTTCATTTAAGTAAATATGAAAAAAATGATTTTTCAAAAAAATGTTAAAATAAATGGAAGTCTTAATATAGAAACCGATTCTAACATAGTTTTAATAATTGAAAATAATAGAGTAATAAAATTCTAAGATAAGGCATCAATATAGCAACCGGAAGTGCTCTACATAGAACCATTGAACAAATCCTTTACATTTTTTCAATTATTATTTGAAATTCATAAAATATAAAATAATCTTACGAATAGGGTGAGCATCATTCCAGAAAATTAACAAACGGTAAAACTATAAATTGTCTTATTTTTGGCAAAATAGAAATTAAATTTAGATGAAGTAAAGTTGTTTATTGAATTCTTTTTAAATTTCTCTAAGTAATTTAAAAGTGGTTATGATATTATTTCAATTATACACTACAGACTACAGACGTAATAATCTGAGCTCAAAATCTTTTAGAAAGAACATACTTTTATCGTTAAAACCACTCAACCGGTCTATACAAAACCCCGTTTTGTGGATACAGGTTAAAAGGCGGCGAAATCCAGACTGCAGTGTTCCTGCTGGACTTCACGAGAATATAATCTAAATCCAACTGTGCTTACAGACGTTCAAAATGTCCTCTCCTTTATTCTTACAAAGATGGAGAGACATTTAAAGAAAGTGTAAACTGCTGTTAATGAAACTGTAAGCAGGATGAATTGATGCATTCCGACACTCGTCAATTATTGCTAAAATTTTGCAATGTTTTAAATAAAAATTTAGAATCTAACAGCATAGTATTGCTAGACGAGTGCTACACAAAATACTTAAAAGCGGATTAGGTAATGTAAACTACTAGCCACAACCCCCTGACAACAACACAGCTAAGAGAGAACAAATTCGTAAAGCTTCAAAAGCGCATCAAATACAAGATTGGGGCTCCTCAAACACTCAAAACACCAAAATCTTCTCCAAACTCACCTTCCCGAGCTAGCCGAACCATCGTCGTACGAGACCAGGCACCTTCTCCCATCCGGACTTCCAGAGGACGACCTCAACTTTGCTTTGCTTGCCTGCTTTGGAGACACAGACTTCAACGAGGACCTTGATTCCGATCGGCTCCTGCTACGAGATGTGGACCTTCGCCTTCCGGCCTTTGGAGAATCAACTGGCGTACGGCTGCGGACAGGGGTTCGACTTCGACTTGGGCTATGGCTGCGGCTACGACCATATCGACGATTCCGATACCTTGGGTTAGGGGATAAAGATGGACTCCTTGTCCGGCTTCTTCTGCCTCTATACCTGAAAACATGTTTTTATTAGGAGCAAGTAACAAAATTCATACTACTCAATATAAGAGATAATTGGTATACAGCATATCAGACCTTGGAGGAGTTCGTCCTCTTGGTGGGCTTCTATAACGCCTGGGTGAATACCTCCTGTAGCTTGAATACCTAGAATTGACAATTAAGAGAAAAACGACATAAAATTACAAAGGTTACCAAGAAAAATTGAGGGTAGGATCAGGGATTCAAATAGCGGCCGAATAACAGTATCACAACCGTTATATCACGGTCGAGGCAGCATCCAAGACTGCTATCGTGGAAAATAGCGGTGTGCAGCGAAATCACACCAATAGCGGCAGGTTGCGGCCGCAATTTAACGGATAACGGACAATCGCAACTATCGCATACCGCTTTTCCGCTATTTTATTTAAAAAAGAAAAATGAGTTTTTTTATTTTCTTTTTTTAAAAATCAACTCATTTGAAAAACGTTCACGACCGCGATACCCGCAATAGCATCCGTTATATCCGCAATCACGATATACGCAACACGACCGAAAACGCAGTCGCGACTGCAATTTAAATCCCTGGGTAGGATAACTTAAGCACGTGATGTGATGTGTACCTCTCACGATCAATCCTGCCTTCGTAACGATGGGACCTAACAGGAGAACGATTTGGAGAAGGGATTCTGTATCTTCGTGCATAGGAGTAGCGCTCACCGAAACCACGGCCCCTCCTGATACGCTTAGGTGATGCATCAGGGGAAGCACTTCTCGATATACTTCTACCTCGATCAGGTGGTGACATTACTCGTTTAACAGGGGTTGGGCTCCTTGAATAACTACGACAGTAATTCCTACTTGATTCCCTTAATGGACTTCTGCTGATAGTTCTTTTAAAGGGAGCCCTAGCAGAGCTCCTACTTATGCTTCTCCGAGAGGATCTTACAGGACTTCCACTAATGCTTCGCCTAGATCTTATGGGGCTTCTGCTAATGCTTCTCCTAGATCTTAAGGGACTTCTGCTAATGCTTCTTTTTGAAAGTCTAACAGGGCTTCTACTAATTGATTTTCTTGTTGACCTAGGTGGGCTCGTACTTGGGCTTCTTCGAGAGCGAGACCTTACAGGGCTCCTGCTAATGCTTTTTTGAGAATGTCCTCTAACTGGGCTCCTACTGCTGTTCTTTCTAGCCCTCAATGGACTTTTGCTGATGCTTCTAACAGGAGTCCTACTAACACTTCTTTCTGGGAAACGTGTGGGATTCCTATTCACACCTGGACTCCTGCTCACACTCCGCCTTAGGCTATGACTTGGGCTATGGCTTTGACGCCTCCTGGGACTAATACTCATACTCTTACTCATGGACCTTCTAGAACTTGCACTTCTGCTTCTGCTTCTGCTCCTGCTCATCAACTTTTTATAAAATACCATATTGGGAAGAACCGGTCAGTATTAAGTACAACCGAAGGAGAAGGAAAGTAGACCTAGATTTGCTTGGGCGATCATCTACCACATCAGGTTGCCTCTGAGCACTTCTTTCAGATTTAGCATCTTCTTCAATGCCATTGCTCTTTCGCTCTCCAATCTCCTTGGGAGTTTCACGTTCCTTCACAAGAAAATCAGCCTCTTTCATCTTTCTGTGAGGATTTTCTTTCTCTGTAGCCGAAGGGGATTGACTACAAACTGCAAAACATAGACAACCCCTTTAATAGAAGTGGTAAAAATCAAAAACCTTAAAAACAAAGAGAATTATCCAAATCAGAAGGCTTTAGTAAACAAAGCAAAAAAATTGGAAGCAGAAAACAACAATATCAAATTCCACAACTCTAACATGATAGCATAACGGGGTGATGGATGAGGCAAACTAATGTAGAATGAAGGGTGTGTCATTTGCATGTGAATTAATAGCATTATCAAGGGAAAAATAAAAGGAATAATGTAGAACGATGGGTATAATGTATTCATGACCATGTCAAGAACTTCAACTCTTACCATTTTTCTGAGAAGGCTCTTTATGTTTCTGTGGTTTTCCTTGAACATCATTGTCGGTGCTTCTTTCGCTGCTTGTCTTGCTGTTCTCATCCGTAAGGCTATCAGAAGTCCTAAAACCAAGAAAAGAAATATGTAACAAGTTCAAGTTATATAAGATGCTTAATAACCAATCAGCTTATCCATGACCTTGAAGCATTTTAATCATTTTTTTGTACATGGATTGTAAAAGGTTTCAGAAAATACCGCAAGATAAATTAGCAAAATTAATTACAGGGGGCAAAAACCAATGACAGTTTGCCATAAATCTTCACCAAGCACGTGAGAAAGCATACATGGACCTACTTCAACAAAGACACAAAGTACAACTAAATTTCGAAACTAGTATAGAAACTTTTGCATCATATTTACAATCATGCATTTTATTAATTTGCATACGCAACTCAAATAAAAAAGATCAAAAAAGGAAAAAGAAAGTCTTCTAATAAGTCGCACTAGGCCAAGGAAAACTAACAGGAGCAAAAGGTTTCCAATTACATCTCAAAATATGACTCCTACACAGCTGATCAAGCACAAAACTCAACAAAACATGCTCAGGAATCAGGTAATTAAAAGGGTAATTGTCCAGAAAAGAAGACACTGCTATGAAGAAAAAGAGAATAAGCAAATAACCTTAATTTATGCTTTGATCTCTTATCACGTTGTTTTCTTTTTTTCTCACGTCGTCTATCTCTTCTTTTACCCCGCGCTTATGTTTTTCTCGTTTGGAATATCTCTTCCTCTTCTTGTTCCCATCATCACTTGAAGAACTAGTACCCGAGGATGATGAGATATATGAATCAGAATCACTATCAGACTCAGATGATTCTGTCTCAGAATCTGAGGAGCTATCCGAATCAGATGAATCGTGTCTTCTTCTCTTCTTCCTTTTCTCTCTTGATTTCTTATTTTTCCACTTCCTACGCGCTTCATAACTGTTAGCACCAGAAGAAACATCTTTTCCCATTCTCAGCTTATTTTTCCTCTTGTCTACAGATAAAATAAAAAATGTTGAAAGCCAAAATTAAAAAGAAATGAAGGTCAAGCCTCATGCAAGCATCATAAAAGTGCAAATTTGGCAGGTCTACAAAAAATTAGATCATGATATTCTATCTTAAGAAATATAACCAACCAATAAGGTCACCGTGGACTTTACCTTCACTGAATTCACCACAATTAATAATTTTCACTGTCACAGTTGGTATTCCTTCCTCATCACCCACATTTTCAATTTTCTTCAGTACTTCATTTCCTTGCACAAGCTGTCCAAAAACAACATACTTTCTGCAACATGCCACAAGGAAAAAAACTCGGAATCCAAGGCTGAATCACTTTTAAACAGTGCAAGCTTATATTTGGGAGGTGAGGAACCAAGAACAAATACTTAAAGAAGATAAGAAACTACCTGTCAAGGTCATGATTAGCCTTGAAGGTGACAACAAATTGTGAACCGACAGTGTCACGATCAGCAATTGCCATGGATAAAAGACCAGGTCCACCATGCTTTAGCCTAGGTGATTCATCTGAAGAAGAGTTTACATTACCCCTTGTTACTAATCAATTATCAGTGAAAAAACATTAACATACAGTCACCTCTAAATGAATAACCTTAGGCATGGAATCAGAAAAAGCATTGGATTTCCAACAGTAAATATTCTTTCTTTCAATGCTGTCTCTAGATAGTTTGTGGAATAAATAAAATTTAGTTATAATGCAGTCCTTAAATGATTTAGCCATCACGTCATTATGTTAGCACCAACCGCTTCTAAAGGATCCACAGATGATAGAGAAAAAAGCTATAAAACAAACATTAATGGTGTAAAATAAAATTTGTACAGCAATTAGGAAAATGCATATTTCTGTCAAAAAAAGCTTTTTAGGAGAAGATAGGCTCACGTCAAGAGTGATTGAAAGCACCTATACAATCTAATGCAAAAGAAACTTTAGCAAAAATAATGAGAATGCATATTGTTCTCTCAGAGAACATTTCAAGAGCCAGATATGCCCAAACTTAAAGCCAAGGAAATACCTTAATACAGTGTTCATCCTGGTACAAATAACCCTAATACCAAACCTCAAATTAGCTCCAAAAGCAAATTGATAAATTCAATATTATATAGCAAGAAACTAAAAATTGAAAATAGAGATTTGAGATTTTGACCCATTCCAAAGAGCATATAAGAACAAACATTAAATACATACATTAGCCCCACAATTATAAATTGATAATAAAATTGGAAATTTTGACCACTTATGGAGAGTACAATACTACGTATATTAGCATGTAAGAGCACTTCCATCATGTACACGATTATATTCTAATTAGAATATTATTAACTTTCATGAACAAAGAGTAATTACAAACAGAAAAAAACATGTGAATAACAAAAATAGTACAAAGTTCACATCATTTCCATGAAATGATCGACTTTTAAAACATTAAACAAAAGGAAAATTTTACACTTCTTCATTCATTTCAGATAACCTAAACTATGATTGTAACTACAGAAGGTTGGGAAGAGATCATTCACCTGGAAACTTCCCACCATATATGCTTTCCCCACCAGTTCCTGAAAAAAGAATACAAATAATATATCAAATGTGGATTTCAAGAGCAACTTCAACCAGAAGCTACATAGGATGCTCTCTCAAAGTGATCTTATCTCAAGTAACAATCAAAAGCCGCAAAATAATAAAAATAAAAGTTCTCTGTAAGGAATACAACATACCATCTCTTCTTACAAAATCACCACCCTGCACAAAAACAAAACACGTTAGTCCACAAGTATGAAAAAAGAAAGGCATTTATGCGAAAAAACTGGGTTGGACACGGTGATGTTTAGTACAATCCTGAGGATTCACAACTTGGTAAATATAACAAACCTGGGCCAAGGAACCTTTAAGGACACGATGGAAAAAGGAACCCTTGTAGTACAGCCGTTTTCCAGTTTTAGGACCAATGCCCTTTTCCCCTGTAGATCAAGATATGTTTAAGAACTCAGAAAAATACAAACGTATAAATATACATGAAAAAACATTTGCATGTATGCGCCCATATGGTAAACAATTATAACCCAGAAATTACCTTGCCCTAACCAGCAATTCCTGCTTAAAATTGAAGGAAAATTCTTAAACAACAAACTCAAGGTCAAGGTCAAGATTTATTCTTAATACAGTATCTGTTCCAAAGTGAATCAAATGCAAAAATGTGCAAAAGAAATATCATAACCATAGGAAATAATAGTACTGGAACACATTTATAACCACCTGTACAAAGGGCACGGAAATTTTCTGCAGTCTTGGGAGCAACATCAGAAAAGAGCTGAAGAATCAAAGAAAGAGATAAATATAAGGGGGGAAATAATCTCCAAAACAAAATATATATAGTAATTCAAAACAAAATACACAGGAAAAGAATAAAACAAAATATATTAAAGGTTGGTGGATTGCTTATGTCGCCCAAAACAATACCTCAAAAACCATTTTTTCAACAGGATCACCATCTATTGATACATCCATAAAAACTAAGGGATTCTTCTTCTTTGCCATCTTTGTTCACCAGATTTACAATTCAAGCTAGCATAACCACAATCTGATCAAACACCAAGCAGCTAGAACAGCACAATTAAAAGAATGTTATCTCACATTAAATTACATAACACGACAGTAACAAAAAAAATGACACCTGAACCTATTTCATCATTAAAGCATTCCCAAACTCACCAGCCTTTATGTACACATCATTTATTTCATTTCAATTCACAGCCTTAAGATACAAGTCAATAGATCAGGATTTTTCAAAACATGTAAAGCATCAATTGAATTTCTCATACATGGTACATCAAGCTTGGGAAGAGCAAATAGAAAGTATTGCAGGTATCAAATACCTGGAAAATATTTCTTTTGCCTTTTTTCAGCTTATAGAAATCATCATAGCATTTCCAAACATACTGAATGCAGAAAGCACGAAAAATGAAGAAAATCAGGTTGAAAGATTTGAAAATGTGAACCTAAGCCTAGCCATTAAAATTAACACATAATTAATCCATTGAATGACTGCACTGAATAAGAATCCAGGTCAAAAAAATAAAAACAAAGGCTATTAGCACCTAAGCCCTAGGATTAGAGGAAATATATGATTAATCTAGTGAATGACTGCAACGAATAAGAATCCCAGATCAGAAAAAAGAAAAAGAAAAAAATAAGAAACATTAACACACAGTTCTAAAAACAGAAAGCGACATAGGATAACAAAATCAAGCTGAAAACCTTAAAACCTAGCTAAACCAGAAGAAAAACTTAAACTACGAGCATAAATTAAAACCTACCTTAACCTTGAACTCGAAAACCGGAATATCATGCGAAAAATGAATTTACATCAACATATGAAACGAAGTAAGAAAAAAAGATACATAACAAAAAAAATAACTACGCAAGTAACTGGATCAAAAAATTGCTATATAAAAAAACAGGAAATAGGAAACTAGTGCATAAGCAGTAAGTTATAAAGGCAAAAACCTAGAAACTTCATCTGAGAAATGCAGAGCCACAGATGAAAACGGAGAGTGAGGATTATACGAGAGAAAATGGAAACGAAAACCTAATGGGTTTTTGCTTATAAAGGGAATGTCCCTTAGATGTTCCATTGGGCTTTCAAATTACTGGATTATATTTATCCGTTTGAGTATCGAACCAAGAAATTTTAGTCCTTAGTTTCGAATAAATTTCGTAAAATTAATTATATTTTTTAGAAAATATTTTGAATATCATTTTAAAGTATGTGAAGATGTGGATAAATATTTTAAAAATTATTATAAATAATACATCATATTATTTATAACAAAATAATATTATTATTATTAAATATTAAAAATATTTTATTTAATACTATTTTATGTAAATATTATATTAAATATTAAAAATTATAATATTGAAATACAAATATTATATATTATATTTTAAGGAGAATTTTAAATATTAAATAATTTAATATTATTATGTTTTTGAAATTCATGTATAATATTAATTTTATTAATAATTTATTATATATCATTAAAATAAAAATATTATATTATATTATATATTATAATAATATAATTAAACAATAAAAATATAATATTGTATTATTAAAATTATCAATAAATATAATTTAATAATTAATTTTTTTATTAAAATGATAATAAAATAATACATTAATATTAAATATATAAAATAATAATGTTTTGAGTGTTTATGCTTTGGAGTGAAAAGTTCGTAAAATGACTTATAGAAAATTAAATCGTAATTCATATTTTAAAAATGCAAAAGAAATTCAGTGGAAAATGAATTACATTGACCATCTGTTTCGGTCAACAAAACACTGGAAATAAAAAATATTTTACAGAAAAACATTTATAGAGAAACAAATAGATCATTAATCTTTTGATGTATTTATTAGAGTTTATTGCATAATGCATCCTCAAATTATGATCTTTGTTCTAAATTAGTCTCTAACTTTTAAATATTTTAATTTCATCCCTAACTATGACTGCGACACCCATTTTTGTCCTGACATTATTTATTATTATTATATTATTATTATATTATTATTTTATTGGTTTCAGGCCTTTACAACAAACCCAATCGGGTCCATTACGCACAGGCCCCAACTACAAAGATAATCGGGCCCCAAAATTACATCCAGACTTGAGCCCAGCTACCAAACCCAAAACTCGAGCCCGAGCAAAAAAACCTAAGCTCTCTTCTTTCTCCTGGCACTGCACGACCATAGCCATTAGATTTGAGAAAGATCTAACGGCCCCGATTACCCTGATTAGGTCTGCACCTAGCCCTGCCACCCGCCATTTCCACCACCACGTGCCAGTAGCCCTACTGCACCAACACGCTGCTCCAACCTCTGCAACAAGTAACCACTAATACCAAGTTGTAATGATTTCATTTTTTGAGAAAATTTGTAACATCAAGGGTTATAAAACCCGAACACTGTTGTAAAAAGGAGGATTTCCCCTTTGTTTTTCAGAAGCAATAAAAATTAGAAAAGTTCAAAGTATATTTTCTTACTTTCGTTTCGAAGTAAGGATAAAAAAAAAACTACTTTCGCGAAACAGATCCGAGAAGAGGAGAGTGTATCTAGTTACCTTAGAGTGGGGAGTCTAACCGAAGGGTCGGTTCATCTTCACAACGGCCAGAGCGTGCGAGAACTGAAAGGTTGAGGCTTTTGGGGTCTTAGGGGGTTTTAGGTGGTTTAGACCCTAAATCTAGGCTTAAGAGGGTATATTAGAGCAAGTAAGTGAGTTTGGGGCTCGGTTTAGGCCACCGATCGCCGTGTGTATAGGGGTATATAGGGGATTTATTTTTTGGGAAATTCGATTGAAATGAAAAAAAAAGAGAGAAAGTGGGTATATAGGGGAACTTTAGGGTAAAATCACGCTTAGGTCCCCTAACTTTAGCGAATTTTTGCATGTTAGTCACATGTAAGGATCGAACTTGCTATTTAACCTTTTTATCATGTTATATATTTTTAGGATATTTTCTGTTATAGGGATTGAAGTTGTTATTTACCCATTTTGATGCATGTTATATGTCTATTAGGTTATTTTCTTTTAGTCCCTCTATGTTTAGCTTGTTTTGCATTTTGGTCATATGTAGTGACTGTTTAATTTTATTTTAATTTGGCTAGACTGATTTAGCAATTTACACATTTTTCTTTAAAAACATGTTTTAGGCTTGTGAAAAAGGTATAATCATTAAATAGCCCCTGTAGTTCAATATGTTTGTATTTTGGTTTTCGATCTATTTCTTTATTATTTAATTTAGCCATGCAATTTTATTTATTTTGATTGGTCCCATGTCTTATTTATTTTTATTCATTACAATTTTAGCACTTAATATTAAAAATATTCATTTAGTCACTTTTGCACTTTATTTTGTTTTAATTTTGACATGATTATTTATTATTTACATTTTAGTCCTTTTTTCATTTTGTTTTATTTAATTTTTGCATGTCACTTTTATGTTGTTTCATTTTAGTCACTGATTAGTTTTGTTCTCTATTAATTTGTATGATACCCTCATAAGCATTTCTTGACTCAAATCAAAATAATTTGACTAAGGGTAATATTCGTTCATTTTAATATTATCGTAAAGTGACTATCTTAACGTATAAGAAAGTTATTTTCGATAATTTTAAAATGAAAGTTGATCATATTAAGTGACACGAATTAAATTGAATCCGTTTTAAAATTTGGGGATTAAGAAAAGATCATGTTCTTTTAATTAAGTTCACCGAGAAAAAATTGTTAGATCGAATCTAAGGTCTCGTCTCGACGTATTTAAATAATTGAACATCCTTGTTCTCATTAAATGTTGGTAAAATAAATAATTAATTGTACTTGCGTGATGTATGCTTTTTTTGTTTTATTTTTGTATGTATTTTTCAATGGTATTTCAAATAAGTAACACTCGAATTAATATTGAAAAGTAATATCTTTTGATTTCGGTTGGAGTAATAAATGACTTCTTTAAGGCATGAGAGGTCATTTATTCTCAATTGGAAATAATTAGTTATTATCATTTTCTCTCGAATCAATATTGATTTTTAAGACGAAATAGTGATATCTCTTCATTTCGATTGGAGTAACAACTACTTTAAGGCATGATATGTCATTTATTCTCGATTGGAAATAATTAGATATTATCGTTTTCTCTCGAATCAATATTGTATTTTAAGACGAAATAGTGGCATCTCTTCATATCGATCGGAGTAATAAATGGCTGCTTTAAGGCATGATAGGTCATTTACTCTCCATTGGAAATAATTAGATATTATTATTTTGTTTTTTGTATTAAGTTTCGTCTTAAAATTCAAAGAATGTTACTTGTATGAGATCTTAAATTAAATTAGACTCATATTTTTAAATTTCATTGCAAAGACAACTAATTAATCGACTAGGTACCGATTTAGGGCGTTGTGGTGGAGCTAATCCTTCCCCACACATAATCGAATCTCGAACTCAAGTTTTTGGTAACGCAAATCGCACATTTGTTGTTTTAATTAAAATTAATATTTTTATTAAAATGACAAATACTTTTGGGTACCCAATCATACCCTAATCAAAGGTTGGTGGCGACTCCCTGAATCACATTTTATTATTAACCGATCATTAATTATTCGAGACGAGATCTTTTACAAACCAGATTTCAAAAAACTAAATTGTCTTTTCGAGAAAAAAAACGTTTCGACAGCTTGGCGACTCCGCTGGGGACTTTTTTAGAGTCAACAATTAGTTGATTAATTAATTGTCTTTGCAATAGAACTCTGAATTCGTTTTAATTTAATATTTTATCCCTTGTTTGGTTCAAATAAACTTTACGTTAAAATTGATCACCACTAATAGTTGTACTGATTTGTTTGTTGGTGTTTTCAGAGTAAATAAATGTCAAGATTTTGTGTAATGCCCCAAATATTGAATTAAGGACCTTATTGGAAGATTTAAAATTTGGAGGATTTATTCGATTAAATGATAAAGATGAGAATGATTAGAATTAATGGTTTAGATAAATTGTGACAAAGGATTATTAA